CTTGCTCATCCGCAATCCTACATTCTGTCTTACCTCTAATTCTTTTAATTATAACCCTACCGTACACTTTTCCTGGTATACTCAATAAACTTATTCCTCTATAATTTTTACAATCTCTTTTGTCCCCTTTCCCTTTATATAAAGGGACTATACATGCTCTCCCGCCAATCCCTAGGTACCTTCCCCTCTTTCATACATTTATTAAACAAAAGTACCAACCACTCCAACACTATATCCCCCCCTGCTTTTAACATTTCTGTCATGATCCCATCAGTTCCAGCTGCTTTACCCCCTTTCATTCTACATAATGCCTCACGTACCTCCCCCACACTTACATTCTGCTCTTCTTCACTCCTAAAAGATGGTATACCTCCCTGACCAGTGCATGAAATTACCGCCTCCCTTTCTTCCTCAACATTTAAAAGTTCCTCAAAATATTCTCGCCATCTACCTAATACCTCCCTCTCCCCATCTACTAACTCCCCTACTCTGTTTTTAACTGACAAATCCATACTTTCCCTAGGCTTTCTTAACTTGTTTAACTCACTCCAAAATTTTATGTTATTAATATTGTTTATGTCATATTAGATGAATTCTGCTAGATAAATAAGCTATAGAGTTGATATTAGTGTCATATTGAAGGACTAGTCCAGACTCCAAATGCACTCCCCTGCTGCAACCACAATTCCTAACATACGCTAGAAACAGACCTCTCTGGAACACTTTTTTGAGTGACAGAGGTCCAGTGACTCTCAAGCTGGTCCTAGTGGTATTAAAAAACAAAGAAGGGAAGTAACCCCAGAAAAGGAATTGGTACCTGATGTCTTTATGGAAGGGGATTCCCCTTAAAAATAGTAATTTCTCCATCCTCTCCCCTCCTCTTGTTTTATTTTTCATGTCTCATTGTTTCCTGTGTAGGTAAATGTATATTTCATGTAAAAAAAATATTTTTTTTAATACTTTTGGGTGTCTGGAATGGATTAACTGGGTTTACATTATTTCTTATGGGGAAAATGAATTCGGGAATCATCAAATTCGGCTTTAGTCACACTCTCTGGAACGGATTAATTATGATAACCGGGGGTCCATTGTACCTTGTTAATCCTACATAGAGTCTTTGCCTCATAAATAAGCATTTTTTCACATTAACATGGTTGAAAAATTGCAGTATATTTTCTTTGAACATGAAGTACAGTGGACCCCCGCATACCGTTGGCCTTACATAACGCTAAATCCGCATACCGCTACATTTTATCGCCAAGATTTTGCCTCGCATACCGCTAAAAAACCCGCTCAATGCTGTTCGTCTGAGACGCGTCTATGTGCGGCCTGAGCCACGCTCACATGTTCCGCCGGTGGCATTGTTTACCAGCCAGCCTCCGCGGTAACATCCAAGCATACAATCGGAACATTTCGTATTATTACAGTGTTTTTGGTGATTTTATCTGCAAAATAAGTGACCATGGCCCCCAAGAAAGCTTCTAGTGCCAACCCTACAGCAATAAGGGTGAGAATTACTATAGAGATGAAGAAAAAGATCATTGATAAGAATGAAAGTGGAGTGCGTGTCTCCGAGCTGGCCAGGTTGTATAATAAACCCCAATCAACCATCGCTACTATTGGTGGTACAGCTGCTGCTGCTGCTGTACCACCGTCAGCTGCTGCTGCTGCTGCACTGTCAGCTGCAGCTGCTGCTGTAGCACCGTCAGCTGCTGCTGCTGCTGTAGTACTGTCTGCTGCTGCTGTAGCATCGTCTGCTGCTGCTGTAGCACTGTCAGCTGCTGCTGCTGTTGTACCACCGTCAGCTGCTGCTGCTGCTGCTGTAGTACTGTCTGCTGCTGCTGTAGTACCATCTGGTGCTGCTGTAGTACCGTCTGCTGCTGCTGTAGCATCGTCTGCTGCTGCTGTAGCACTGTCAGCTGCTGCTGCTGTTGTACCACCATCAGCTGCTGCTGCTGCTGCTGTAGTACTGTCTGCTGCTGCTGTAGCATCGTCTGCTGCTGCTGTAGCACTGTCAGCTGCTGCTGTAGCATCGTCTGCTGCTGCTGTAGCACTGTCAGCTGCTGCTGCTGTTGTACCACCGTCAGCTGCTGCTGCTGCTGCTGTAGTACCGTCTGCTGCTGCTGTAGTACCGTCTGCTGCTGCTGTAGTACCGTCTGCTGCTGCTGTAGCATCGTCTGCTGCTGCTGTAGCACTGTCAGCTGCTGCTGCTGTTGTACCACCATCAGCTGCTGCTGCTGTAGTACCGTCTGCTGCTGCTGTAGCATCGTCTGCTGCTGCTGTAGCACTGTCAGCTGCTGCTGCTGCTGTACCACCGTCAGCTGCTGCTGCTGCAGTAGTACCGTCTGCTGCTGCTGTAGCATCGTCTGCTGCTGCTGTAGCATCGTCTGCTGCTGCTGTAGCACTGTCAGCTGCTGCTGTAGCACTGTCAGCTGCTGCTGCTGTAGCACAGTTGTTGGTGTGGCTTATTGAGAATACCAAGAAACAATTAACCCCAGAGGGTTAGCCACCCAGGATAACCCAAAAAAGTCAGTGTCATCGAAGACTGTCTAACTTATTTCCATTGGGGTCCTTAAACTTGTCTCCCAGGATGCAACCCACACCAGTCGACTAACACCCAGGTGAACAGGGAAAAATGCCTGGAACTAGTGCTCATATTGGTGAATTTAAAGCCAGCAAAGGTTGGTTTGAGAGATTTAAGAATCGTAGTGGCATACACAGTGTGATAAGGCCTGTTCTGGAAGAAAATGCCAAACAGGACCTACAGTACTCAGGAGGAAAAGGCACTCCCAGGACACAGTGTCTCATCAGTCATTGCTGCATCTTCAATAAAGTGTCATTTATTCTTCATTTAGTAGAGTAGTACATGCACAATATATATTGTGCATGTACTACTCTACTATTGTGCATGTATCCTTCTCTTTGTGTGTAGGAAAATGTATATTTCATGTGGTAAAATTTTTTTTTCATACTTTTGGGTGTCTTGCACGGATTAATTTGATTTCCATTATTTCTTACGGGGAAAATTCATTCGCATAACGATAATTTCGCATAACAATGAGCCCTCTTGCATGGATTAATATCGCTATGCGGGGGTCCACTGTATTTACCATTTAAACCAGAGTAAGTGTAGAATATATGGCACACTACAGGTTCACTGCCCCCTGTCTCATGGAGACTCCACAGTGAGCTCACCAGTGGAAGTAGGTCATGCCTATACATCAGACAAGTTCTGTAGAAGTCCCTGCATCAAGATCCCATGATGATGCAGAGATTTCTTTAAAACTTGTCTAACCTATAGGCACAACCTACTTCCACTAGAAATTTTGTTCACTTGTGACTCTGCCTACCACTGCTCTACCTCATGTCATCAGTATATAAGCCACTTTTATCAAGATTGATGGACCAAACACATTGACTCCAAGCTGAGGGACTGATTACCTCAAACTCCCCACCTTTCAACTTTCTCTGTATTGGACTGAAGAAGCCACTGGCTGGTCATTTAAAGGGTTAATTAATAATAATTTGAACAATGCACCAATTTTCATAAAAATAACCTGTACATTACTCATGGGTCTACTGTAAATATATATTAATGGCAATTATCTTGCATTTCTGCAGTGAAGAGTTTTTACGAGGATAGTGAGGCTCAAGTTAGAGTATGTAGGAAAGAGGGAGATTATTTCCCAGCAAAAATAGGCCTTAGACAAGGATGTATGAAGTCACCATGGTTGTTTAATATATTTATTGATGGGGATGTAAGAGAAGTAAATGCGAGGGTCTTGGCAAGAGGCATGGAGTTAAAAGATAAAGAATCACACATAAAGTGGGAGTTGTCACAATTGCTCTTTGCTGATGACACTGTGCTCTTGGGAGATTCTGAAGAGAAGTTGCAGAGGTTGGTGGATGAATTTGGTAATGTATGCAAAAGAAGAAAATTAAAAGTGAATACAGGAAAGAGTAAGGTTATGAGGATAACAAAAAGATTAGGTGATGAAAGATTGGATATCAGATTGGAGGGAGAGAGTATGGAGGAGGTGAATATATTCAGATATTTGGGAGTGGACGTGTCAGTGGATGGGTCTATGAAAGATGAGGTGAATCATAGAATTGATGAGGGGAAAAGGATGAGCAGTGCACTTAGGAGTATGTGGAGACAAAGAACTTTGTCCTTGGAGGCAAAGAGGGGAATGTATGAGAGCATAGTTTTACCAACGCTCTTATATGGGTATGAAGCATGGGTGATGAATGTTGCAGCGAGGAGAAAGCTGGAGGCAGTGGAGATGTAATGCCTGAGGGCAATGTGTGGTGTGAATATAATGCAGAGAATTCGTAGTTTGGAAGTTAGGAGGAGGTGCGGGATTACCAAAACTGTTGTCCAGAGGGCTGAGGAAGGGTTGTTGAGGTGGTTCGGACATGTAGAGAGAATGGAGCGAAACAGAATGACTTCAAGAGTGTATCAGTCTGTAGTGGAAGGAAGGCGGGGTAGGGGTCGGCCTAGGAAAGGTTGGAGGGAGGGGGTAAAGGAGGTTTTGTGTGCGAGGGGCTTGGACTTCCAGCAGGCATGTGTGAGCGTGTTTGATAGAAGTGAATGGAGACAAATGGTTTTTAATACTTGATGTGCTGTTGGAGTGTGAGCAAAGTAACATTTATGAAGGGGTTCAGGGAAACCGGCATGCCGGACTTGAGTCCTGGAGATGGGAAGTACAGTGTCTGCACTCTGAAGGAGGGATGTTAATGTTGCAGTTTAAAAACTGTAGTGTAAAGCACCCTTCTGGCAAGACAGTGATGGAGTGAATGATGGTAAAAGTTTTTCTTTTTCGGGCCACCCTGCCTTGGTGGGTATTGGCCAGTGTGATAATAAAAAAAAAAAAAAATTCTGCAAATTCTTCAAAATGTTCAATATTGCAATAGTGTCATTCAAAGGATTCTGTAGCAGACTTCTAAGATTATAAATCTGCAAGAAAAAACTGAATTTTACTGAGAAAAAAGCAACTCACATTTTCTTTCCAAAAGTGTTTGAAAAAAGCAGTGAAGATGTAGTGACCTCTGAATGTGATGATCCTCCATGACCACCAGCATCACTCATACCATGGTCACCACACACCACCACCAAATACCTCTGTCCCTGAGAACACACGTGAGAAAATCACTCAACAATACTCTAATACAAGCAGTACACGCACATTTATGCTAAGAACTATAATTGTCATGTTTTTATATGACAATTTACAGCAACAATCATTTGTTCAAATACAAAATGGGAATTGACACAGTTACTTTTTTGCTGATGATACTGTGTTTTGGGAGATTCTAAAAAAAAGTTGCAAAAGTTAATGGATGAATTTGGGAGGGTGTGTAAAGGTAGAAAGTTCAAAGTGAACATAGATAAGATTAAGGTGATGAGGGTATCAAGCAAATTAGATAAAGAAAAATTGGATATCACATTGGAGGGAGGGAATGTGGAAGAAGTGAATGTGTTCAGATATTTGGGAGTTGACTTGTCAGCAGATGGGTTTATGAAAGATGAGGCAAACCATAGAACTGATGAATGAAAAAAGGTGAGTGGTGTGTTGAGGTATCTGTGGAAACAAAAAACGTTATCCATGGAGGCAAAGAAGGGAATGTATAAGAGTATAGTGGTGCCAACACTCTTATATAGGTGTGAAGCATGGGTTGTAAATGCTGCAGCGAGGAGGAGGCTGGAGGCAGTGGAGATGTCGTATCTAAGGGCAATGTGTGGTGTAAATATTATGCAGAGAATTTGTAGTGTGAAAATTAGGACATGTGGAGTTACTAAAAGTATTAGTCAGAGGGCTGAAAAGGGGATGTTGAAGTGGTTTGGTCATTTAGAGAGGATGGAACAAAATAAAACGATGTGGAGAATGTATAAATCTGTAGGGGAAGGAAGGAAAAGCTGGAGGGAGGGGGTAAAGGAGGTTTTGTGGGCAAGGGGCTTGACCTCCAGCAAACGTGTGTGAGTGCATTAGATAGGAATTTAGAGAAACCAGTTAGCCAGACTTGAGTCCTGGAGGTGGGAAGTACAATGCCTGCACTTTAAAGGAGGGGTTTGGGATATTGGCCGTTTGGAGTGACATCTAAACTGTTGTATGTGAGTGCCTCTGCAGAGACAGTGATTATGTTTGTAATACAGTGGACCCCCGGTTAACGATATTTTTTCACTCCAGAAGTATGTTCAGGTGCCAGTACTGACCGAATTTGTTCCCATAAGGAATATTGTGAAGTAGATTAGTCCATTTCAGACCCCCAAACATACACGTACAAACGCACTTACATAAATACACTTACATAATTGGTCGTATTCGGAGGTGATCGTTATGCGGGGGTCCACTGTATATTAAAAATTAAAAATCAAAACTAAAATTCTTTATTTCTCTTGTTAATATTACAATGTGGGGTTTACATATTATAAGATATTATTACATATTATAAAACACTTATTACAAAGAAGGCCACTAGTATGCCCAGCTATGCCTAAGCATTTTGGGCAGACTAATACTCGTTCATACTCTATATTGGCACAGGATATGGATCATACTGGTATTAAGGTTAGGTAATTGTAGCGATTAACTAGATTTACAAAATTGCGGTAGTTCAAAATATTTAAGAACTTAACAATTAGTTTATCTATTAATGGAAAGGGTCTTGTTTTGGCATGATACAGTTTCCATATTGGAGTAGCTTAGGCAAACTTGTGACTAGCTTAAGAATTATGAAGCAACAGCTGCATTCAGAATTTTATGTTTACAGTCATGTGTAGATTAAGGGGAGTCACAGATATCAATAAGTGTATTTTGTTTTGGATATGTGCAAGATAAGGTAGGGCTCCTACATTGAAATGTCTAGTCAAACTTATGACTAGCTTAAGAATTACGATGCAATAGCTGTACTCAGAATTTTATGTTTACAGTCATGTGTAAATTAGGGGGAGTCACAGATATCAATAAATGTATTGTGCATTGGATATGTGCAAGATAAAGTAGTTCTCATGTGGTTAGCTACCGGTGGGGTGTGTAAGGCAGATGAGATGTTTTTTAATGGTGGTTGTGTCTGCAGTTCTAGACTTTTCAGGCAGGGAGTTCCAGATTTTAGGCCCTTTTATGTACAGTGAATTTTTGTATAGATTTAGCCGGACACGGGGAATGTCAAAGAGATGCTCGTGTCTGGTATTATGTCTATGAGTCCTGTAGTTCAGGGTTAATATTGGAATTTATGGTTCTGTAGATGTAGATTGCAGAGTAGTAAGTGTGGATGTTCTGAACAGTGAGTAAGTTTAGGTCTTTCAAGAGTGAGGTGGTGTGTTGCCTAGCATTGGATTGCATGATAATTCTTACCATGGCTGTTTGTTGGGTTATTATTGGCTTTAAGTGGGCAATTGCTGTTGATCTCCAGGCACAAATGGCATATGTGAGGTATTGATAGATGAGTGAATAGTATAGTGTGAGTAGGGCTGATTGTGATCCATAGTAACATATCTTAGAGAGGATCCCAACAGTTTTGGATACATTTTTGTTATGTGTTGGATATGGGTGCTGAATTTCAGGTTGCTGTCAAGGTGTAGGCCTAGGAATTTGCCCTCGTTATATTTAGCAATAAGAGTGTTGTTGATCTTAATGTTTAACTGTGCATCACCTGCTCTGTTACCAAACGTAATATAGAGGGTTTTAGTTTTATCAGTGTTAAGTGTAAGTTTATTGGCTGTCATCCATGTAGATATTTTTAGTAGTTCCTTGTTAACAATGGTGTTGAGGGTGGCAAGATTTGGGTGGGAGATGACATAAATCACGTCATCAGCAAAGAGAATTGGTTTCAGGTGTTGCGATACGTTGGGAAGATCACTGATTATAAGAGGAAGAGTATGGGACCAAGGACACTTCCCTGTGGCACTCCAGTAACAAGTGGTCATGTTGAGGAGGTTGTGTCTTTAATGGTGATATACTGTTACCTATTAGTAAGGTAGGATTGGAAATATGCAAGTGTATGGCCTCTTATACCATAGTAGTCAAGTTTGTGGAGTAGGATGCCATGGTTTACTGTGTTGAAAGCTTTCCTTAGGTCAATAAAAAGCCCTAATGGATATTCCTTATTTTCCAGTGCTGTATAAAGCAGGTCTATCATTTTTACAATTGCATTGTTAGTGCTCTTATTTTTTTCTGAAGCCAAATGATGGTGAAAGTATTGAATGATGATGAAAGTTTTTTCCTTTTGTTTTGGGCTTTTCTTTCTTTTTTGGGTCACCCTGCCTTGGTGGGAAATGGTTGATGTATTATAGCTGAAGCAAGACTATAAAGAGCAACAAAAAGGGGAAAATAAAATACTACAAAAGAGTTTTATACAAATGTTACTCAAAAGAGGAGCACTGTACCAGCAAAACTTTGGAAAAAGTAACTGCTCTGGAAGGGAAAGGTGTTACCTTTGTCAGAATCAAAAATCAAATCAAAATCAAAACTTTATTTCTTTGCTAAGGTTACAATATATGTTTACATTTCATAATTTGATTGGTACAAATAATGCCACTATCATGCTGAGGCATTACAGGTAGACTAATACTTATAGACTACTTAAGTCTAGACAGGTGAAGAGTGATAGATTACAAATATTCAATACTTTACTCAATTATTAACCGTCTGATTGTCACAACCCCAATTCTGAAACTGTCTCCCTGTGTCATAAAATATTCCAAAAAAAAAAAAAAAAATTCTTAACAAAATGTTAGGATTAATTTGCCAAATGTTTTAAGCCTAAAAACAAAATTTTGTAATCAGTACTTACCAAGATATAGAGGCTTAAAGTTGGCAGAAAATGAACCACGTATGGCAACAGCAGTGAATGCTGCTCACCAGGTACTCTTATATTTATTCCCATTTGAAGGTTTCTTGTATTTTCCAATATTTTATTTTCCAAGTAACTTATGTGGCCTGTGAGACCAAAGCAAGGTGCAATGTACATATACACTCATATGCAACACAATAACTGCACAAACATTATTATCAATATATTGTTTACAAAACTTGCTTACACAAACCAACAACACAAATAATGGTTTACTGCTATTGTTCTATAATACACAGTAGTTACATTCCTGAAAACGTTGTGTTTGGCAAAACCATGTTAGACGAACTGAATAACTTATGTGAAAAATAGGGTTACATTCCTGAGAGCCCCTAAAAAGGAAAACAACTTTTTTTAGGCCTCCACATCTTACAAAAATAAAAGTGAATATGTAATTGTAGTTCATAGTTGTGATGTATTATGTTGTTTTTACTGCTTAAGACTACAAATGTAACAGAAATAATCGTACAGTGGACCCCCGCATAACGATATTAATACGTTCCTGAGAGCTCATTGTTATGCGAAATTATCGTTATGCGAATGAATTTTCCCCATAAGAAATAATGGAAATCAAATTAATCCGTGCAAGACACCCCAAAGTATGAAAAAAAAAAAATTTTTACCACATGAAATATTAATTTTAATACACACAAACTGAAAAAGACATGCACAGTTACATGACACTTACCTTTGTTGAAGATCTGGTGATGATTGATGGGATGGGAGGAGGAGAGAGTCTTAGTGTTTAGAAGGGGAATCCCCTTCCATTAAGACTTGAGGTGTCAAGTCATTTTCCGGGGTTACTTCCCTTCTTCTTTTAATGCCACTAGGACCAGCTTGAGAGTCACTGGACTTCTGTCGCACAACATATCTGTCCATAGAGGCCTGTACCTCCCGTTCCTTTATGACTTTCCTAAAGTGGTTCACAACATTGTCAGTGTAATAGTCACCAGCATGGCTTGCAATAGCTGTCTGAGGGTGATTTTCATCCATGAAGGTTTGCACTTCAAGCCACTTTGCACAGATTTCCTTAATCTTTGAAGTAGGCAACTTCTTCAATTTCTCTCTCCACTCCTCCGAAGCAGTTTCCTCAGGTCTGGCCTCATGCTGATGAAGATGATCTAGCAGCTCATCAGTGGTTAGTTCTTCATTGTCCTCCTCCACCAACTCTTCCACATCATCCCCACTAACCTCCAACCCCAAGGACTTTACCAATGCCACAATGGATTCCTCAACTGGCATAGGATTCCCAGGGTTAGCCTCAAACCCTTCAAA